TGAGAAGTACTGCATCAGAGAAACATGCCTTAGATACTGCTCAGTTTATTAGTGGTTTATTATTATTGGCTGAAAAGCAAAACCAGTTTAGTTAATATTGCAGGATCTTATGGTTAAATTGACATTTGACATTTTTCACGGGACACAGGAAGTTGTTAGACGTTAGTGTAGAAGACATTTCTTCTGCGCTGCAAAGGTTGGGGGTCAGCCATTCGGTAGCTTCGTTGGTCTTCATTGCTGGTGGTGTGGGAACCTTGGGCATACAAGGGGGTGTTGGGGAAACTAAGTGGCTAATAATATCAAAAGGACCAGAATCTGTCATCTCACTGGTCTCTTGATTGTCTTGAAGGGCCCAGAACTGCTGGACAAGTTTGGCAACACCACATCTCTCCCCTAGATCTCGGTTGGGATTCCTGTTCAGGATGTCCTTAACAAATGGGATGTCCCAGATCCTTACGGCCGCCTCCCCATGTCGGCCAGGGTTATGATTGTATAACCACTCGGTGAGAAAGTCAAATGGGTTGAATCCCATTCTGTCTTCCTCAGAGCACTCGTGCTTTTGAACTTCGCTCAACAGCGCTTCCAGTCCGGGCAACAACACTGGAAACACAATCTTCTCCATGAAACTCGTGACAGAATGTTTAAGTTTCGGTAGCAACAGTGAACTCTTCCCCTCGCTCACTGAGGCGCTGTCATTCCACACGGCCCACGGAGGGCCAAGGTGAAGGGGAAGTGGTGGAGAGGATGACAGGTGCTTTTGGCTAGGTGAAGATGGTTTTCCTGCTACGCTGCAACCGCTAAGGTCAGGAAATGGGTCCCAGTCTGTCATGTGGCTGATGTCTGCAAAGACCTTGGCCGTGGTGAGTCCATAGAAGACGGGTGAGTGTGTGCTCGAACTGTAATGGGACACCTGGGAACTCACTGAGCTGCTTGCGGTACAATCAGTACTGGAAGGTCTGTGCAACTCTGCTTCGTAGTCTTCGCATACTTGTTGCCAAAGTGATTTTTTGGCGTTAATACTCGTTAATAATAATGTATCCATTTTCTCACATGGATGACGAGCAAAGGGATCTTTACTAGTCAAGACTGGGGTTTTTTGTGGCGTTCGATGGATTGTACAACATTGCATTACTCTATTATACCAGAGGTTATCAAGTAGGTAAGCATCCTAGCGCTCCTTTTTTTTGCATTAGGTTTTAGTAGGCCATATGGATTCCCTCCCAACCTTTTACTTAAAAGGATAAAAGACTATTCATTTTTGCCTTTAGTGTCAAATATCCAAATGGAATATAGAATTTCAAACCAGTTTTCAATGCCATACAGGACAATTAACCAGCCTTTTTAATGAACTATTAAAAAGATGGAATAACTGAGTGAAAAATAAAGTAATGCCATACAGGACAATTAAATTAACTTTTTAATGAACTATTAAAAAAAAAAAAACACAGAGGTTTCCAAAGTGGGGGGCGCAGTGCCATTGCAGCGAGGGTGCAGATGGAATAACTGAGTGAAAAATAAAGCAGCATATTGTCCAACGCTGTAAATGTTTAACATTTGGACAAGACTTGGAAAACAAGGGATTGGTTGAAGGCAGCATAAAAGGAACAACTGATAATAATATTGTAAAGGAAGCCATTGTATTTTTAATTCCCGATCTCGTTTTTGCTGTTGATGGTTCGATCTAA